CCTTATGAATAAAATACAAATAAATAATTATAATCTGTTAATAAAAAATAGTAATACCGTTACGTGTGATTTACGGCTCCATGGGACACAAGGAGAAAAAACACACGTAACGTTACGGACGCAATCCTTAGTAACTTTTGCGGACTTCCGGTGCGGATTACGGATTACGGGTTCTATGTGACGCCGGCCTTAAAATTGATTCTTAATTTTAAAAGTATATTTTTTACGCATTCAATTCATAAAATTTAATTTTTTTATTTTTTATATTAATCCATATTTATATTAATTTATATTTGACTTTTATATATAAAATGTTATTTTTTATTTTTTACTTAATTTATACAAATTTAACTATTACGTGCAGATTTTTTTTAGTTTAGCAATTTGCAATTTAAAATATTTATTTTTCAATGCTGATATATATCAGGATCACAACGTTCAGGTAAGATTCATCACAAACATGCTATTCTTAAAAATATATTTAATAATAATAGATAATAATAATAATTATAAATACAATAGTATAAATATGTAGCTCTTTTTCTTATTAAAATAATATTCTTGAAAACAACAAGCTGATAGAGCAGGAGCTAGTTATAATTGCTCAAATTTTCCTTTTATTATAAAATAATTACAAAAACAGACGTTTTGGCCTAAAACACGTGGCCATCTTCAGTGTAACAAATTAATATGTCGTCGTTAGTCGGAAAACGTTGACAAGATAGTCAGAATAATTTAGGTAACGCATTCTGTTAATGTGAAAACGAACAAAACGAGTTAAGAACGTTCTCCAAACACGAAATTAACGAACAACAAATTTTAGAAAATTAATTATGTATAAATACCTTTTTTTGACATGAATAGTACATTTTTTCATATTAAACTTATGTGAAGCCAAGGATCATCTAACTTGCAAATAGAAAAAGAAATAGGTCAGAGATTAAAAAATTTTTAGGACTCAGTTAAGAAAATGTAAAAAAAATAATAAATAAAAATAAATTAGATTAAAATTAAGGTTAAAAATTAAAAGAAAAAACAAAACTAAACCGAAAAATAAATTAGTTTCAAAAAAGATATATACCTTAGGAGATGCGTTAGACATGTGTATCAAATAAATAAAATAAGACATGCGTCGACGGCAGTGAGCCAGGCTTGACTGGCAAAATGTAGAAAAGAAAGAGGAGAGGGAATAGATTATGGAAAAATTTTAAGGGGTGGGGAATTTCTTAAGGATTGGAAGATATGTATCAGGTAATAATTCCGTGTCCTCCTGTTTATTCAGTTCTGTACTCTGTCTTTTTATATGTAGCATTTCGGAAGTTAATCTTTTACTATAACACGGTTCTCTGTCTAGTATGTCAACTTTGTCTTATTTGAAGTCATGATTGAAATCCTTTCTGTGGCAAGAAATTACTAAGGGGAAACCTGATTTTTTATTGATATCTGTTCTGTGTTCTTTTATTCTAGTCCGTAATTGTCTTTTTGTCTGTCCTACGTACGTGGCGTCACAGTCTTGACAAGAAATCTTATAAACAATATCACACTGGTTCATCCTGTCTAGAGTCCTTTCCAGTTTTTATGATTTTGTTTAATTTGTTGTTGCATGAAAAGACCAACATACAGTCATTTATTTTTGAAAATTGAAAAAATTGTTCAGATAAATTTTTAACATACGGGATCGTAAAAATTTTTCTTTTTTTATTATTATTATTGTTGTTCTTATCGTCATTTTTGTTAAAATTTTTGTGTATGTAAAAATTAATTCTGTTTCCAATATTTGAGAAAATAAAATCTAGTGGATAACTATTGTTTAACAGAATTGTTATTGTTTTCAAAATTTTTTTGTTGAAAACGTGGATGTGAGAGCCATAGGGCCCTATCGACCATGCCAAAAATGACACTTTTTTTATGAGATAAAGGATGGTGTGAGTGGAAATTTAAATATTTTCCCGAGTATGTCTGTTTGTGAAAAATGTCCAATATAATCTTCGAGTTGTCATTTATAATTAAGACATTGAGAAAATTTATCCGATTATTATTGCTAATTTCCAGTGTGAATTGCAACCTTGGATGTATGGAATTGAAGATCGTAGTGGTTTCATTTAGTAAATTATATGAGACTGCAATAAGGATGTCGTCAAAATATCTATAATAAAACGAAGGTGTACATGATAAACGTTCCATGGCTAAACATTCCAAGTCTTGTAAAATAATGTCCGCTATAATGGGGGATAAGGGAGAGCCCATTGGTGTACCAAAAATCTGTTTGTAAATTTTATTGTTAAAACTGAAGAACGTAGAATTTAAGACTAGAGTGATACCCATAACCAATTCATTAAGTGGTATAGAAGTATGACCCCTTATCTGTGTAACAGCACGCGCTGTTACTAAGCGTCACACGGGCTTCACGTGAGCACCCCTCCATTACGGGCCGCATTCCGATCCCCCAACTCGAGGGTAGTAGCTCGAGAAGGGGTAGCTGCCGGGTAGGGTAGCACCCCAAGTGGGGGTAGCGCGACCGGTATAAAAGCCGGCTCGCGGAGCAGACCGATACCATTCCCCCGAGTACGACTCGGACAAGCCTCAGGGCGCATTCTGAAGCTCCGATCGTACTCGCTCCCATCCCGATAGTCGTTCTAGGAGCAGGGCGTTCTCTGTTTCGGTCGGGTGTTCCCATAGACATATATAACTAGACCCAGCATGCATGTCTTGGCAGAACGGACAAAGAGGCAAAACATAAGAGAAGATTTCTTTCTTTGTCTGCGCAAGTAGGATGCGCAGTCGCTATTGACAGCGAGCGTGACAGCCATGTGACGGCCGTTAGGCTTCTTCCAATATCCACACGCACTGCACGTCTTTATTTTTTAACATATTTATATATATGGTATAATAATAGGGTATAATGTTCGTACACATAACACGTAACTTATGATATCCGACTTTCACGTTATGACCAGTTGACAATTGTCGGCCATTACTGTCATGATGCGCGCGCAAAAAAAGGACAGATATATCCCCTATGTTTTGTCTCTCTCTCCGTTCTGCCAAACCCAACGAATATCATAAGGAAATATACGGCATGCTGGATCTAGTTATATATGTCTATGGGTGTTTACGATAATTCAAATTCGAGTTAGTTTCACTAGGGCCAAAAAATGAGATAGACATAACCATCTAGAACCTTTATGATTTATGACAACTCGACGCTGTCTTGCATTGCTTGAGTTATATTCATTGAATTTATTGAATTTATTGAGCAAATTTTATTGTAATAGAAAAATGTTATTTATTATTATTATTAATTATATTATTATTAATTTATTAAAGAGGTATACCAACATACATACCAACATTATTTGTTTCTTTCATAGACTGATTTGCAGTTGACATTTTTCTATTACAATAAAATTTGCTCAATAAACTCAACA